ACTTTCTCTGCCTGCTATTGAACAGCAAGAGAAGGTGCAGGAGAGAGAACAAGTAGCAAAATTTCACAGCCTTTTGTAAGGCATCAGGGGTGAGAGGATCTCTGGGATGTTAACTGATATGTTCTTGTTTCACAGCAGAGAAACTTAGCACACTCAGACAATGCCAGCCAAAGAATCACACTCACCTGCTGGCAGCAAGAGCAGAAAGGAATTGTATCCTGTGGTCAGATTAGTATGGATTGTGGCGGGGTTTGCCTTCCTCTGCAACGGAGGTGTGGTGTTTTTCCTGGGATCTCTAGAGGGTATTTTAATAACCTTTGCAGCAGTGCATGGTGATCCTATTCTTCTGTTTCACCTGTGGCAGACCTTGTTCTGTATTGTATCAGGGTCAACTGTGGTTTTGTTAACAAGTTAGACAATAGATTTGCATAAGATGGTTTGGATAGGGATGATCCTGCCTCAGGCAACAGGCTGGACTAGATGACCTCTCGAGGTACCTTCCAGCCTTTCTTCTCTATGATTCTATGGGATGTTGTGTGTATGGGGATTGAGGGGAGGAGACAGAATCCTTTTGTACACCTCCTGACCCACAATCAAGAGTGCTTTGGCTGTCACTGAATTCTGATTTGTTCCTACTTTGCATTAGCTTTCCTAGTGAAATCATTCATTGGGTTTTCTTCCCACTTATCAGTAGGTGTCTTTTGTTCCTGTAGCATTTGCCGGCCAAATGAGATTGGTGGCTTTCTTGAACTGGATACTTTCATTTGACATTGGAAATACAGCATATCATCTTCAAATACTCCTGCTCTAAAACTTTACTGCATATGGGCTTGGGCTTTTGGATGTTGGCACCTTCCTCATGGTAGCTTTCCCATCCTCCTCACCCCCTTGCATTGCTTCCAAAAGGTTGGGTATGATAACAAACAGAGTATCAGGGAGCCTTACCTATTTAATGGGACTCAGCAAAGGAGCTGGAAACCTTGTCATCATCAGAGAATGTTGGTTAAAATTCTGCTTAATCCATTCTGGCATGTGTTAATACAGATGTTGGCCTGCAGGTGGCTGTATCTTTCCAAGGGAGAGAGCTTCAGCACAAGCTCCCTCAGGGTATCATTTATATTGGTGCTTACAAAACCAAGCATAATTTTCTAAAAGGGAAATCAACAGCTTAAAATTAGTCAGGTTTACTCACATATAGCAAAAGCATTTCTGGTTTTCCCCAGTCCCTTTGGGTTCTTTTGGTTTTGTTTTAACTAGATAGTTCTGTTTTGTTTGCGGCTTTAAAATAGTTTTCCTCATCAGCTTGATGCTCTGTGTACCTGGAACAAACAGGGGCAGGGTTGAGCAGAGCCCCATGCAGCCCTGAGTCCTTTGCTGTCCATTGGGCCAATATGGGAAAACAGCAGAAATACCTACTGCAAGGGTCTGTCCCCATTCACTCCCTCTGGCTTCTGGCATTTCCCATGCAGGTCCAGGCAGAAAGGTCACCTGCCCTTTCTACCTTCACTAACATTTACCTGTTCCTCCTTTGCCTCGTGCTGGCCTTGTCACTGCACCTTTTTGCTTCCTCTGGCTATTACAGGGGTTTTCAACCTGTGGTCTGCAGATCACTGGGGGTCCACAGACTATGTCTAAGGGGTCCGCAAAAGATGACTATGATTAATCACAAGTATGTGATGACATGTGATTACAGTCATCAAATTCACCTCCATTCAACATTTTTAGGGGTCTGCAAATGGAAAAAAAGGTTGAAAACCACTGCTTTAGTACCACAGAGCTGCCTAAACAAATTTCCTACATGTCTTTGCTTCCTTGGGCAGTTTCACAGTAGAAACGGTCATGTTTTTCCATTTTAATGTAAAATGTTTTTGTTTAACTGTGTAATACAGTTTAAAAATTAAACAGTATGTGCCAAATGAGGAGCTAACAATAGCACCCACTCACACATGCTGAGAATAGCAGCAGCACAGCTCTAAGTGCAGAAGCTCCCTGAACAGAGTCTGAACATCCAGCTACAACCCTGGCAGGGAAATGGACAACCAGTGCAGAACACAATACTACCTGTAAAGCCCTGGACACAGCACACAAGGACCTGCAAATGAAAAACACGTCTATGCTCTGGAACCTCAGAAACTGCAGAAATGTGACCCTGAAGTTAAAAGGGGAAATGCAATTAGCTAGTAGAGTGGGGCCATGTTTTCTGTTGGTTCAGTGGACAATACCAAAAAAACTGGGGGGGACCAAGGGGTGGAGAATGCTGTCAAGTCGCGCCAAAACAGAAATGTTTGGGGGCATCAGGGGTGAGAAAGGAGGATGTTGCAATGTGAAAAGAAAGCGGATTTTATTTCATGCCTACCTGGAACACTGCATGACCCAGAATGTTTCGCTTCATCCTGTGGTATTCTTAAACCATTTTGCTTACCAAGGTTTCTCTTAATACAAAAATGCCATCTCAAAACAGGAAGGTGAAAAATTGCACCTTGAAAACACCAGACCAAATGAAACGTGTCGTAGAGTAGGACCACAGGGCACAATGCAGATGCCAGGGAGAGACATCTGAACTAGTCAAGCCAGGCCTCCTCAGCAGGCTTGAGTGGGACATGGCTGAAATGGGTCTGGCATCTCCATACAGCACAGCATTGTGCCATAGAGACAAATCTTTAATGTAAATTAACAGATTACATGTGTGGACATTGGTTCCAGATTGCTGACGGGGTTTTCTTTTCTTTTTTTTTTTTTTACTTTGAGTTTAATACATGTTGATTTTAACCTTAAAATACATTTTAATCCAGGATGTAGACTTGGAAGCCAAGGTGCAGGACACATAGGAGGGAAAAGCAAGTGAAAGCAGAAGGAAGGACAAAGGCATATATGTATATGTATTTCTCTCTCAGATGATGTGCAGCATCTGACTGGAGCAGTCAAATAACACAACCACCATCACCAATTTCACAGTAATGAATGAAGCCTGAGAAAATGAACAGGCTGCCTTCCAAACAGGAGATGTGATAATCAGTGCTATGATGTTATAGTAGGACCACACAGGAGCTCCCCCTAGAGATAATGTTACTTTATTATATAACTAATGCTGCATCATAAAGGAAGGCAAAATACAGCCATCTCCTGAGTATAACAGCTCTGTCAAACTGAAAATGTGGAGTTTGATGGCAGATTAAAGGTGTTGGATATACAAGTCAAAAAGTGATTTTTCTAACTGCTTGGATTGCAAACTCCCTCCCCAGGACCAAGCTGAGTCCGTCTCTTCTCTCCTCAACCAATTCAGATTATATATTTGGAAGTCAACTGGTGATTTTTGTTATGAAGAGGCAGGGAAGAATAGACTGCAGCTTGCTCTTCTGGAGCTGTACTGGCACTGTGGGAGCCAAAATGTGTTTGCATAAGTTGAAAACATAAAGGGACCAGAACAGTTAGAGGAAGCACTTTTACAAGGTTGCTTGTCTGATCACATCACTTGAAGCCTTTGGTGTCAGACATTGTCACCATCTGAATCATCCCATTGCCAGGCACCAAAAAATAAAATAGGTGTAGGCCATGTCCTCATGGCTTCCCTTCCATGCTCCCTGCTCAGTTCATATCTGCTTAGAGGCACCAAGCAATGCTCCAGATTCACAGACCCTGCTGGAACTATTCTTGCTTTACCAGCCCCACACTCCTTGTGATAGCTCAAACCTCAGTCTCCAGCCTCTCCCCCGATTTCTACCTATAAAGAGAACTTCACTGATAGGACAATTGATCTACTGGAAGGAGAAGGTGGCTAGGAGCACAAAGACCCTTCTCAGTTCACTTATGCCACCACTTTTGTAACCTTGGGCAAGTCTTTGAACATTTCAGTGTCTCAGTTTTCCTCTCTATACGACAAGGATAACAATACTTCCCCATCTCATGTGTTTATGAAGTGTTGGGTAGTGTACTTGTTGTATCCTGGATAACTAGCAGCCTTGTAGGGTTATTTATTTAAAGAAACTGTTACTGGCAATGGGGTCTCCACAAAACAATCCCTCTCTCTCCTTTAATTCACAGGGTAACCACATGCTGGCCATCTCCTCTGGGCTAAGATGAATTCAGGCTTCCATGACAGCAGCAGCAGGGGCCAGGATGGGAAGGCAGACCCCTCCCTTCTCAACCTGGGTGTTCCTCTGCAACCTGGTTATTCACAAAGGTGGAAGCTACGCTGCAGAGGAACTCTTATGTAACCTATACAAGGTAAAGCCAGTAGGTGGCTGGTTTGACACTGGTGATAGCACTCTGTGAAGTGGGAAGGAGGGAGCATTCCTCAGGTTGTACATTAGTTTAACACTGTAGTAGCAGGACTCATTGTTTGGTTCTCCTCACCTTGCTGCCTCAGTCTCAGAGGACTATAATAAACTACTGATCACATATGAGTGAGCTGTTAGGGGCACTGGAGAGAGGGGCATACAGGTCCTGCATCTGTCCCCTTAGACCAGTGTCCATGTGTAGTTCTGTCCCTGATTCTAGTCATTGGTGTCACTATACAAAGCAGGGTCAGTGGCAGTGGCCCTCCTACTCTGTACCCACCGACAGCTGAACATGACGTTTCAAATATGTGGCTACTTTAGGAGGAGGCTCTCTCTCTCTCATCAGCCTAAATCTTTGGGCCACATTGGCCCTCCCAAGGCATCCCTCCAGGTTTTGTCCATTTTCTGCCACTGCCATTTGCTTAAAAATTGTTGCACCAAGAGGTTGTTCTATGCCTGGCATTATTGCACATGCTTAGTGAGCTGAGACTGCTGCAGTCTCTAGGGAATGCACTAAATAACATCCCTCTTCACAGTGCAGAGCCAGGGATGTCCTGTCCCAGCCACAGAACAGAAGGCAGACAGCAATTCAGCTTCATCTGACCTGCTAGGTTTGCTACCTGGACATTGAGGGAATTAAAGGCGTTTTTCAAAAGTACCTACATTTGACAGGCAAACTAGATGGTAAAGAAGGGACTGGGGACTCTCTAGGCTAAGGTCTGTTGTTCACTTTAATGCTGACTGTGGTAGTTGGGTAGACCATGTCCTAATGAGAACAGCTGAAGTAAACTGATGGGACTTGGAGTGAATGGCAGAGCAGATCAGCTGGTCTAAAGGCAGAGAGAGAGAAAGAGATCAGCAGTGCTCAGGAATGCAAAGGAAAACTAACCACCAACCACAGGGAGTTGCATGCACCCTGCCTTGCCTTTTTCCTCACAAAGGAGCAAGCTGCCCTCCTGACATCAGTACCCGGTGGTTTAGCGTTTGTTGAGTTGCAGGATGTATTGCAATGGAAGGAGACAAGGCTTCACTTCTTGTCCCCACGGGCAGAATCTTTCTGTGACATCATGATCTGATAAAGGGTTTCCCGGAAGTGCTGGTCCTGGCTCAGCGTCTTGGCTACTTCCTTCAGCTCCACGATGTTATCTGCTTCTGTCTGGGAGAAGACGAAGGACTGTGACTGCTTCACTGAAACGAGAGCACCACAAGCAGGTGAGTACTCGCTTGCCAGCAATCTCCTAAAGCTGACCCAAGCTCAGATTCAACAAAGAACCTCTGCCAAGTAACTGCAATGAAATCATGATGTCCCTGATCCAATTACAGTTGGGAGCACGTGGACCCATGCCACTGTCTGCTGAGAGGGGAAAGAATGAGGGTAGGGAATGATACACGTGCCCTTTGCTGCTGTCAGACTGCAAAAGTCCCCTTGACGTGAAGCTTCCAATGGGACAGCAGTTCACATGGACTCAGCTGCAGGAGCATATTGCCCCCCGTGCTCATGCAGAGTGCTGCTGGCAATGAAGGGGTTAACATGAGTTTCCTGATACACACAATGTGAAGGAATTAAGATGGAGGTTTCTTGCCTTCTCTGCGGACAGAAGAGCCCCACATTTCTCTGCCTGCAGCCCCTTGCGAGGGCGACAGCGCTGCAAGGGGACAGAAAACACGAATCATTTGTGGAAGTCACTCCTCACCTATCCCATTACCCCCACCCCACATCCCAGCTCTGCAGAGTTTAAGTGGGGAGATGGAGCCCAACACCTACAGTCATTCCATGAAGCACTGGCCCTCCGGCAGTGAAAGCGGCAGCTTTTTATTCGGCGGGTGGCAGCCCTGTGAATGTACACGGAGTTCTTCATGATCATGGGCATCTTGGCTTCCAGCTCGGCGCTCCGGATGCACTCCTCAAAGAACTCTAGGGAGGAGACAGCCCAGGGGACACTGCAGGCACTGATGCTGGCCACACAAGGCCCTGGTCAGCCTGGCCCATGTGACAGACTTGACACCGAGGGCATGATCCTGTTGAGATCAGTTTGCACTGCCTGAGGGGATGGACCAAGCGCATCTGGATACTGTGCCCTTCTGTTGCACCTTTTAGATTAGGAACTCAGAGAATCTGACAAACACTAATTCATGAAGCCCCACAACATCCTTTTGGGGGTAGTAGTAGCTTCCATTCACCACTGATCTAAGCTGGATTTCCACTGTTGAAATGAAGGCAGCAGGTCCCACTACCAATCCTACATGAGCCACTCCTCCTCCACTCCTCCTCAACTGCTGCTCCCCTGGCATCAACAACCTCTCTGTATCACCATCTAAATCAGGGCTGTCCAACTTCTGAATGGCCAGAGGCTGTAGGCGCTCCAGCCACATACCACATGAGCTGCATGATCCCTAGGCCACATGCTGTGCTCACTAGAAACCACCTTGCTTAGCTTGTGTTCTTTGGCCTGGGGGCATAGGGCTTGTGGAGATAGCTCCTCTTGCAAACCATGTTCACCAGTAGGAGGGGTGAAGGAACAGTGACTTACTTTTCAAGTTGCTGACATCAGCTTTCATTTTCTCTTCCTTCTCCTCGTTGCGATCAACAGAATTTAAGCCTTGCTCCAAGCTCTGGAGGGCTTCCTCAGCCTCCCCTAGTCTTCTCTCTAGATCCATACGTACTTTTACTTCAGCCTGGGGAAGGAGGAATGGGGAACACTAAAAAAAACCTAGTTAAACAACTGTCCCAGGAGTTGTAAGGAACCTAAGCAAATGGTTTTATTGAATGAGAAGGGACCAGGATAAGGACAGCCAGTGTAGACGGGATAAGAAACCACAATCCCAATAAAACAGTCCCAAAAAACTGAACACTGAGTCAATGTGAATAGGGAAGTGCTTTAAAGTGATCACAGCTCTAGGTCTGAAATGAAAGTTCATCACTTGCTCAAACTGAACCCAAACCTAAGGTTCAGAAGTGCTTGGAGGATGGTCTCTTACTCTGGTTTTCCAATTTCAGAACTGCCCCCACCTTCTGGAGTCTGTTTGGAATCAGGGGTGTTGGAATACCCGAGAAAGTACTTGTGGCAGATTTACCCCTCTGACCATGAACAGGAAATACATGGGACTTCCTGGAGAAACAAAACAACAACAAAACTAACCCTGTCCTTTTTAATTGAATGTTCCTGAGCTGAGGTCAGGGTCAGGGTATATCAATTCAGATTGAGTACCAAAGGTTTCCAAAACTGTGCTGCCTGGTCCATTTATTGCAATATTCTTGAGGTGGGGTAGCCAAGAGCACTCTGATAATTCATATGGTACTTTTCAGAGGCAGCACAGACTTCCTGTTCTGCCCTAAATGAGGTCCTGCACAAAGTATCTGGTTGTAGAGGCAGAGCAGTCTCAGGGCATGGTCATGCCCGCTAGAATACACCTTGCTGGTACATCAGAACTTAAGCCTAATGACTTACGGGGCATGGTATACGTTTCCTCCAGCCTCTCCTGCTTTCACCTATAGGGTGGGAGAGAGTCTAATGGTAGGGAGGACAGTGAAGAGGGGTGGCAGAGGCAGTAGACTGCAAGGTAGGGGTAGAGTCAGTGGGCCACATGCACAGTACCTTGAGGTCTCTTTCTGTTTGCAGCTTCTCTGCAGTCAGCTCTGAGAGCGAGTTCTGCAGTGCCTGCGACTGAGAAGAGTAAAACTCCCGCTCCTGCTCCAGGGCCTGGGACCGCTCCTCATTCTCCTTCATCCTGCCACACAGAATGCCACATCGACATTAGGGAAGGCCTGTCCCCCCCCAAGCTCAACTCATAGGAAGGAAGGAAGGAACTGAATCTTGGTGGAAAGTTGCTCTTGCAAACACGGTTGGCCTCTGTTGGAGATGCACACATTTCACTTTGAGGCATTCCCTTGGCACTTGAATTCTGTTTTTTAAACAGGCAAGTGCAGCACTTGAAAAGGATCCCTGAGTTCTGGAGGTTTAATATTCTTTATCCACAGAACAGGTGCAACAGTAGCATGGGATTCCTGTTTACTGCTAGGCCCTCATGCCTTCACCCTGCTCTGAAAGAAACAACTTTAGACATTAAAGGAGTTCAGCTAGGTCCATTCACAACTGGACCTCTCTGCTGAGACTGCAAAAAGGGAGAGACATCTGCAATATGAGCATTTGACCAGCGGGAATTAGATGGCCACCAAGGTCATTTGATACTGGCAATCACAAAGCAATGCCAACCCAGGGTCCACATTATTCATCACCCCTGACCCAAACTGAATTTGAACCAGTTGCCCAAGTAGCGCTCTACTGCCTTCAGCCAGAACCCAGGAGTGGAATCTATAAGAGATCTAGCCACGCTGTCTAGGTTGTTGGCCTGAAGAAAACGGACATTGGGTCAACATGAATGGGGATGTGCTTATCATGGTTCTTGGTCTGAAAATAGGTTCCAGCAGCTCTTCTTGGCATCACACTCCCTTTGCAAGAGCTAGATTAGCTCCTTCCTTCTCTGACATTCTGCAAGAGCCTTTTCCCACCATCACTCTCATCCTCACCTCCTCTCTGCTAGGAGTTTCTCCTCCAGAAGCTGATGCATCTTCTCCTCAATCTGGCGGAGGTTGCTGTGCAGACCCCGGCTGGGGTTTTGCTGCTTGCTAAAGTTGGGGAGAGGCTGAAGCTTGTTTTCATTCTCTTGCAACAACTCCAGGGTTCTTTGCTTTTCCACAGAAAGCTCCTTGGGAAGGAGTTGGAACAGATCATGTTAGTACCAGCCAGGTCTCCAGCTTCCAAACATTGCTTTTCTTTTGCTGGACAGCTTTCTGCTTGCCTCTTCTCAAAAGTTTCCTTGTTGCCCTTCCTTCCTTCTGTTGTCTACCTCCTTTCCTTACCCAGCTAAACTCTGGGTTCCTCTTCTCAACTGCAACTCTGGAGTCAATAATCACCATAGTGCTCTCTCTTTCAGCCTGGCCTAGGAAAGATCCACACTCAGAATTTTTGCCCTGTGCTCAGACTGAACCCAAACCACCCAGCAGTGCGCTGAAGAGATAAAGCAAAGCAAGATGGCCATGCTTTATGGGAAAGCCATGTAGAATCACAGAGATTAAACCAATAGATTTCTATAGTAATTACTCTAAAATCTATTAGAATGGAATACAAAACTAGATTCTTTTACCATATGTTTTGGACCGTCCTGCAAAATTCAGTACAAAATTATGAGTCAGATCCTGGCTGCAGCTGCCTGGGGCTGACAGTGTCTGGGAAGGGGTAGAGAAAGAAGAGCTCCTCAGAAGGCATAAAACTCATGGAGTCATCCTTTTAGCCCTTTGTGGGATTGGGGTCATGAGAGGTGAAGGCAGAATGCGACAGGGCTCTGCTTTACTCCACAAATTCTCTGCCAATGTATGGTTCTTCACAGACCCATACTCAGTGATGGCTCTGATTTATACCAGGGTTAGGGTCAAGGCAGTGGCAGCCTTCAGTGGCCCCCTGACAGCTTCACCCCAGCCCTGAAGGGATACTTCCATATATCCTGACTAAAGAATAACAGGATGGATCATTGCCATTGCAGATGGATTTCATTCTCTATTGCACTCTAAAAGCTTTCAGAATAATTTATATGGGACACTCGTTCTAATTGCTGTTCAGTTCAATAGGACTTTGCCCAAAGTCCTATTGAGAACTCCCTATGGGGAGAAGTGGACACGCCGGAGGGCAGGGAACAGCTGCAAGCAGACCTGGACAGGTTAGACAAGTGGGCAGAAAACAACAGAATGCAGTTCAACAAGGAGAAATGCAAAGTGCTACACCTAGGGAGGAAAAATGTCCAGCACACCTACAGCCTAGGGAATGACCTGCTGGGTGGCACGGAAGTGGAAAGGGATCTTGGAGTCCTAGTGGACTCTAAGATGAACATGAGTCGGCAGTGTGACGAAGCCATCAGAAAAGCCAATGGCACTTTATCGTGCATCAGCAGATGCATGACGAATAGGTCCAAGGAGGTGATACTTCCCCTCTATCGGGCGCTGGTCAGACCACAGTTGGAGTACTGCGTGGAATTCTGGGCGCTGCAATTCAAGAGGGATGCGGATAACCTGGAGAGGGCCCAGAGAAGGGCCACTCTTATGGTTAAGAGCCTGCAGACCAAGCCCTACGAGGAGAGACTAGAGAATCTGGACCTTTTCAGCCTCTGCAAGAGAAGGTTGAGAGGCGACCTTGTGACTGCCTATAAGTTCATCACAGGGGCACAGAAGGGAATTGGTGAGTATTTATTCACCAAGTCGCCCCCGGGGGTTACAAGAAATAATGGCCACAAGCTAGCAGAGAGCAGATTTAGATTGGACATTAGGAAGAACTTCTTCACAGTTCGAGTGGCCAAGGTCTGGAACGGGCTCCCAAGGGAGGTGGTGCTCTCCCCTACCCTGGGGGTCTTCAAGAGGAGGTTGTTAGATAGGCATCTAGCTGGGGTCATCTAGACCCAGCGCTCTTTCCTGCCTATGCAGGGGGTCGGACTCGATGATCTATTGAGGTCCCTTCCGACCCTAACATCTATGAATCTATGAATCAAAAAGCACTCACCTCCAGTGTTTTCTGTAAGGACTCTGTCAGGCTTCGCAGATCCTTCTTCTCTTCCTCCACTCCCTTGAGAGACCGGGCTGTCAGCTCTAGCTCCCTAAGATGAAACAATGGTAACATACTTTTGTGTGTTTCCAATGTTAGACATTGCACTCATACAACTAGAGGCTGTAGATTTTAGGGCCATTAATATAAGACACTGTACTGCTAGTTTGTAAAGGATGCCATCAAAAAGTGGAAATGCCAGGCATATACATTGGCTGGAGAATGTTAGCTATGTTATGTCTTGAATACATTAAAAATTGTTAATAATGATTAGCTCCTTCTGGCCCTGTAAATGAGTGGGGATGGAGTGGGGTAGGGAAATCAGTCTGTTTCCTGTTGGGGACATAACCACAGTTACCAGCTAGCCAGGTTCTCTGGGCTCCTCTTCCCTCCTCCAGCTTTCTCTTCCTTCCCCACCCCTGGGGACACAGTGGTATGGCATGATGTCACCCACAGTGCTGGAGGAACCAACAGCCCAGGGCACCTGTATAGTGCGGTGCAGTCAGAGAAGAGTACCCATGCAGCGTGCGGCCTGCAGGGCCTGTGGCATATGCCGATGCAGCCCACGTGGTGTGTGGCCCACAGCTGCTTAGTTGGATGGCCCCAGTACAGCATATAGAATACTTGCACTGCTCTACTGGTGACCACACAACATTTTTTCAGCCTGTGGCTAAGGTGGAGCTCAATCAAGAAGGCAGGTCTTGTTTCTCAACAGCTGTCCTGGGGTCACCACAGGAACTTTATAAACACTCTATGGTTCAACTGACAACTCTCCTGTAGAAAATAAGAGGATCCTCCATCAGTCCCTGAATGCAGCACGTGAAATAGGAGGCTACCATGTGGAACCTGAGATCAGAAGTACTACTGGATGCTCGGACCAGCCAGAGATACAGCCTCCTCTCACCTCCAGCAGAAGTGGAGAATCCCCATTGCAATGACAGTGCTTCTCTTTGGGTTTACTTAAGCAAACTCCCCTTGGTCCTGTCAGCTTTTTGTGGGCATTAAACAACCCATGGCCAGTTTTGCAAAAATAGAAACAGGCCCTGGTGTCCTTCATCATTCTTTTAGTAACTTGGTAAAAAGGTCCCCTTTCCACTGTTGTGATATGTCACTTCTCTTCCCAGTCTGGCAGCTGGATATTGTCCTGCTGATAAACTTGACACTTTTAGGATCCAAACCAATCCAGAGCATCACTCTATCGAGAGATGTAGTCTACATGTGCCAGAAACAAACATGCTCTCACATGCCAGGACTGTAAGTACTTGAAAGGGAAAAGATGGCCCTACTCAGGAGTATATGCTTACACCTGCAGCCATCCCCATGGCACTGATAGACACTGTGTGATCCTCATGCTGCCATTCTACTTATACTCTTCTAAATCAAGCAGGTGAGGGCCAGAACGCAAGTGCAACTGAGGCTGCTTGCCCTCCCCCAGCAGAGGGGGCCAGCCCTCTCACTCCTCTGCTTGGTTTTCTCCCTGGCTGGACCTCATTACCGTTTAATCTGGTCTTGCTCCAGCCGTAGCTCCTGTACCACTTCTTCAAACTGCTGCTTTTCTGCCTCCAGCACCTGGTTAAGACGCTCCAACTCCTGACAGGCAAGAGGAAGATACAAGTGCACTGCTTAACATTTGGTAACCTGCATCATTTTTTATTTGAACTGCTCTTGGAAAAACATGACCTCCTTTACTTAGACTTTTCTTTAGCCCTTATGGAGGCTAATAACATACCCAAAGCATCAACAACATGAAATACACAGTTAGGCATTTGCAATGTTTATCTAGCCAAAGGGTGTTTAGCCATCACTGCTGTCTGTGCTCAATGATAAACAATGATATGTCACTTCTGTTCCCAATCTGGATGAAGCAATGATACCTGGTCAGAATGACTGTGTTTTATTCCACCTGTGTTCCTTTTATACAGGGGCATGTGACTATATCATACAGAAAAAGACTTCTTTGCATTTCAGCTTAGATTGTACTGGACCTAACCAAAAGATGGTGCTCCTACAGCAGCCTCATGAATATCCTTCAATCTTGCTTGAACCAGACAACATATTCCATTATGAATCTGTATCTATACAGCAGATGTATGATTCAAACAGTGCTTTCTGAAACTTGGCTGCAAAGCCCTGCAGACCCTTAGAACATTGGTCAGGTAAACTCATGCAGATCATATGTACATTTGTTCTTTACTAATGGACACCTTAGAAACTCCCCTTGGTCCTGTCAGCTCTTTATGGACATTAAACAAGCCATGGCTAGCTTTGAAAAAGAAAGACAGGCCGCAGTGTCCTTCATCACTCTTTTAGTAACATGGTAAAAAGGTCCCCTTTCCATTGTTATGAGATGTGTAGCAGACCTACTAACCAGCCTCTCCAAAATAAGCCAAAGGGAACAATAAGAGCATTATAAAAGGAGCATTATACATCTACCCTAATTAAAATGGGATCAGAGGAGGAGAAAGTTGAGGCATTGTGGGTTAGGATACATGGAGGTCAAGGGGAAAGGGACTTGGTGGTGGGGGTCTGCTACAGACCCCCACACCAAGAAGAAAAGCTAGACTTAGAATTCTTGAGGCAGCTCTCAGAGGCTGTACAGTCTAGGGACATGGTTGTCATGGGGGAGCTAAACTACCCTGACATCTGCTGGGAGGAGCAGTCAGCCAAATCCAACCGTTCACATAGGTTCTTAACCTGTGTGGAGGACCTTCACCTAACGCAGGAGGGTATACGGTCCCACTAGGGGGAATGCCTTACTGGACTTGGTGTTGGCTACGGGAGAGGACCTGGTAGGGGAGCTGCAGATTCGTGGGCACCCTGGGAACAGTGACCACCGATCAATCAAATTCACCATATGGCACAGGGTGGGTAAGATAACTAGTAGGGTGGAAGTGCTTGACTTTACAAATTTATTAGGGGGATGCAGCAAGGGATCAGAGATGCTCTGTACAACAGGGCGCCTCTTAGGGTAACAAGGAACAATGGTCACAAACTGACAGAGAGCAGATTTAAGCTAGATATCAGGGAAAACCTCTTCATGGTAAGGGTGACCAAATTTGGAATGGGCTTCCAAGGGAGGTGGTGCTCTCCCCTACCTTGGGGATCTTTAAGAGAAGGCTGGATAGGCATCTGGCTGAGGTCATCTGACCCCGGGCTCATCTGACCCCAGCACTCTTTCTTGCCTAGGCAGGGGTTTGGACTCAATGATCTGTTGAAGTCCCTTCCAACCCTAGCATCTATGAATCTATGAATAGATTGGCCCCAGAGGACAAAGAATTGGGCCATCCACTTTTGAAGATTCTAGAGGGAATAGAAGTTCCCTGACCCACCCCCACTGTCAGGGCCCTAACTGGCAGCCCAGCCTGGACTAGCTGTCCAGTTGGCCAAACTGACACTCTGACTGACAGCCCCACCCTGGCTGATGAACCAGCTGGCCACTGTTGGGGCCTCCGGGTTGGCTGCTGGGGAAGTCAGTCTCCCTATTTAAGTCCACCTGTAGCTGCAGACTATTCAGCAGTTCTACCTGAAGGTATGTTGTGGTAAGCTGCCCTGGATCTTGTGCTCTGTGTTTTGTTCTGGCTTCTGATGCTGCTGGGCTCTTTTTCTGGACTCTGGGTGTGTTGACAGACATGCAGGTCCCCACCCTAACTCATGACACTTCACATGAAGGACTATGAGATAGAGAGATCCGCCCACCCCCAACCCAACAGATAGTTGGCTAAAGGGAGTAGAAAATTGAGCTCCACTTTGGACCTGATCCAATAGAGAAGACTGCCTGCAGCCTCTCTCTCCTAGCCCCCTTCCCCCGCAGGTCCAGTGCTGTCTGCAGGAAGGGAGGGGGAGAGAGCTGCAGGCTGGGGTTTGCCAGACCTCAGTTGGAGGGGGCTGGAGAGGGGCTGCAAAGTGAGGGGTGGGGGCTTCAATCTACCTGCCCCTCCTCCAGTTCAGGCCAGGCAAACCCCAGCCCACAACTCCCTCCCCTTCCCTTGCTTCCTGCAGACAGCACCAGGGGTGGGACTGATCTGCATCAGCCCAGGCCCGATCAGGCTGACAGACCGACCCTAGGGAACAGAAGTTTCCTAAGATGCTCTACTTTGGAGCGCCTTCATTTGATTCCCTCAATTAAACTAGGGTTAACTTGTCATGCAATCAGCCACTTCTAAAGCACTCTGCAGCCATGCATGTGTCACAGCATGGCTGTAAAGTGCTTTCAGGCAGGTGGTCACACAACACTTCTCACCTTTGGTAACTTGGTCCCCAATGCAGCCTCTACCTCTGGAATTCCCCCTCAGATTTGGTAGCTTGGACTGTAGCTCCTGTACCCCCTGTGTGGCTCTGGGTCATAGCATTATAGTACTTAGGGTCAGAAGGGACCTTAAACAAATCATCAGGTCTGCCAGCTTCTGCCTTCAGTTTTCCCCTAATAGCCAGCCTATTAGGACAAGATGCCTACACAACCTGGTCCCTATACCTGTCTCAAGGAGGTATCAGCAGGTGGGAGGAGAGCCTAGCCTATTGTGTGAGAGTCTTGTTGTACTGCAGTCAGGGCAAGCAGGTGCTCAATATGCATGCCAAAACATATCTGAATTTTTGGGTAGTTATTTGAACTGAACCCAAACCTTTGGCGCTTCTCTCCTAACTACCTGGCTGTCTCCATTGATAACTTCAAGGAGTGTGGGTACTGCAGGTCAAGACTAAGGGATGCTGGCAAGTCTAAGGCAGGGCTGGGGGGAGAAAGATGGGGATGCCCAACAAGTCTTACCAGAACACCTCTATATTCTCCTGAAACACCAGCAGCTGTTCCAGCTCTGCTGACTGCACCCCAGTCCTGACCTACAGCCACTCCTACTCCAGGCTGCATGTCAAATGGGTGTCAGCATTCCCTGGTACAATCACTTTCAACCCGAGGCCATTATTCCTTAAATGTGACTGACTTCCGAGCATCATGGAAGGGGGGCCTAGTGCAATAAGAAGAGATATATCAATAAAGGTGGGCAGACCCTAGTGTTGGCCCCCATCTCTCCGATATGGCTGTCATTTCAAGGAAGTTTTAGAGCATGGTGATTAACTGACTGTTCGTTGGCTTACCTCAGCCTCCTCAAATGAACCAATTTTCCTAAATTCTAGTTCCTTTGCTCTACAAGGTGAAGGAAGGGGGCCTGTTTGATTGGTTTTTGGAAAGAGCACCCACCTCTTTCTGCTCCCTTTGCAGACACAGCTCCTCTGTCTCTTCCATCAACTTATCTGCAAATAAATACAAATACACAGGCCAAATGCAAGAAAAAAAGAAAAGCAATCTCTATTCAGTGTGGTATTTCTGAGCCAGAGCACGGATTGCATGAAGTTTGAAAATGAAGATTCTTCTAATGTATTTTATGTATCTGCCCAGGAGTGTACCAAGGTCAGGGTAGCATAATGGGATTTTCTTTTAGCACTTTTCTGCCAAATACTTCATGAACGAACATTACAAAAAATAATGGCTACAAGCTAGCAGAGAGCAGATTTAGATTGGACGTTAGGAAGAACTTCTTCACAGTTCGAGAACGAACACTAGTGATACTTTGCACTCCTGTTACTGTCCCCTCCCATGGTTTGTACAGCTTGCTAACAAGGAAACCCTCATCTGGGGCAGGAAAATATCATTACCTCTGCTTTGCAGATGCGGAAGTGTGGGCACCAGAAGGCTAAGTGACCTGCCCAAGACTAAACACAGAGAGTGGCAGCACCAGACCCCAGATGTCCCAATTCCCTGTCACCCTAACTAACAGGCCACACCCTCTCCTTAAACTAGCAATAGACATTAGGGTCATGACTTTAAACTACCTGCTTTTACTGCTGGCTGCCCCTTGCCTTCATCAGCTCACTGTTGTGCTAAACCCATCTCTTTTTTCACCCAAACCTTTTCTTCCCTAATTAATTATTGTCTCATACATGTTGAATGCCCCCGCTGCTTGTTGCTGCTATGGTTGCAACCGGCTGTCCAGGTGGGTGATAATAATTGTGCCTTAATGCACTGTTATCCTTATGATGTGATGTGCTCTCTCTGTTGGCTTAGCCAGCCTGAAGAAACAGTGCTTTCCAATCCTCTTGGTGTGATGCCACAAATAAGTTTGGTTTCTTTTGTCTTACAAAGCTTAAAGCCTCAGAGGAATTCATGTGAGAAATGGGATCGCCTAGCCATCTATGCTCCTTCCTAACTGGGAGGTCTCCACCCAAACGTTCTTATTCTGAAAAGCTCCTATTTTAACTTGTTACAAAGTCCATCCCAAGGGCTACTACATATGCTGGAATTAACACTTAGAGCATCAGTGGATAAAGCACTGGATTGGAACTCAGGAGACCTGGGTTCAAATCCCAACTCTGTCAATGGCCCAATGCATGATCTTGGTCAAGTCACTTCTCCCAGTGCTTCTGTTTCTCCATCTGTAAAAGAGGAATAATGATATTGACCTCCTGTCAAAGACTTACTGATGAAAAGTGCTGTACTAGAGCTAGGCATTATTACACACACTGGGGTCCTGATCACTCCAGGAATACAAACAATATTACTATAGGTCTTTCTGAGAAGCTCTGTTCCTCTCCTTCCCTTTGCCTCCCCTTCCAGAAAGCAATACCCCCTTAGTGCTAGAAGTTGCACCCAAAGCTGTATTCCCACTCCATGCAAAAGTGGTGACTACACCCTGCCAGATGGTGCTGCTGGCTATGTCCATTCTTCTCTGTCCTTCAAATTCTGCCCCTTCTTGGGAGGACCAGATCCTGCACTGCCTGGCTTCTGGATACAACCCTCCAAACTCTGTTGCATCCCATCCTGAAGGAGAAGGCTGGACACCAAAAGGTGAGTCCTGAAGATGAGAGATGAGGATAGGAAATTTCGCAGCATTTGCTTCTCCTCATAGTTCTGATCTGATCTCTTTGTGGCCAGAAACTTTCCACAACGTCAAAACTTTCCATAGTGATAGGACACAGATCACAAAACATGAGGCTAATAAGAAGGAAGGTGTCTCAGCAGTACAAAGTAACAGCTGTCAAAGAGAAGTGACCAGGTGTGACAATATCTTGAACAACCTTGCCATGGACCAAGAGCCCAATAGATATATTTGCTAGTTAGTAGAGAAGGTGTCCCCTCCCTTATGCTTGGCTGCATTCTGGGAACAGACTGTACATTCTTATTCTGCTCTGATGGTTGCAGAGGGGATGTTTGGGCACTAATGGGGGAAGCCTGGAAGAAGAATGGATTTTTTTTTAAGATCATATCACACTGAGCTAAGGAAAATACAGATCTACCACATTCTGATAGTCTCCCTTCCCCACAAATCTTTACTGGCTTTCTAAAGAATCTGATAATGCTATTATATTACATGAGATGGGCTAGGGGAACAAACTGAGAAAGAATGACACGGGGATTTAGAAATGTCCTACAGAAGGGTCTAACATCTCTATCAATTACACAAAAAAGATAGCAGTAAAAGATGCCCCCCAAAAATCTTCCTTTTCCTGTATTTCCTGGTCCCATCCCTGCCACAATATTCCAACTTACGTCTAATGTAATCCTAGGCATTAAAGCAATAATACAAACAGGGATATTGTGGGACCTTGGGACTTGTCCTTTAGAGTCTTGACATAAGTGACATCAGGCCTGAGGCTTATTAAGTCCTTGACATGAGTAAATAACCTATATAGTTATGAAATAGGAGGCAAAATCCTGAGCCAAACACCATAGGCATGTGTGCAAAATGGATATTTGGGAAGTGAAGGAGATAATAACTGGAAAAAATAAACCACAGTTAATTATAAATTATAACAATGTGAAGCAAACAGGGCTGTGCGAAGCTCCGGTCTCCGATTCGATTTGTCAGAGATTTGGCCCGATTCGGTGGCTAAATCTCTAAATCCAAATCAAATCAGAAGACCCTGTAATCTCTCAGAATCAAATTGGAACCCTCCAAATCAATTCAGAGAGATTCGGAAAGATTTGGTGATTTGGACACAGACAGAACTTTAAATGTTTTTTCTACATACCTCAAGGTAGCAGGCAGCTTGTGAATGCGGCGATGCTGGGGTGCATGGAGTGTCCCACAGAAGTGCAAGGGGCTCCCCAGCATGCTCAGCAGCAGATCTGGGAGTGGACCAGTCCACTTCCGGGTCCTCCGGGGAGCGCGTGGGGCACCCCCCGCCCCCCAGTGACTGGTGCCTCCTGGGTCTGGGGGGCCACCTGGGGTCCCCCCGCGGCTGATCACTGTGTGATCCCCGGTGGACCCAAAAGTGGCCTAGAAGTACTTCTGGTCCACTTCCAGGTTCACTGCCAAGCACACGGTGGGGGCCCCCGCACTCCTGTGGGACTCTTCATCTGCCCCAGCATCACAGCGTTCACGAACCGCACTGCTACCTTGAGGTATGTAGAAAAAACATTTAAAGCTGTGTCTATGGCCAAATTGCTGATTCTCCGAATCAGCATCAAACCTTCGGATTTGGCCGAATCAAATCGGGGACAGTGATCCGAATCAACTCATCAAATCACTGTCCCTGATTCGGGCTGAATCCAAATCCAAATCTAATAGGGCCCATTTCATACACCCCTATAAGCAAACACTTATGAAAAAGCAGAAACCCCCAAGAAAGTGGGGTTCAGAAGTTTAAATAAGGAAAAGAACCAATCCCAAATTCAAATGTATATAATATGAAGTAGCTATAATGCTCTATAAATGATGCTTCCTGGTCATAGTGCCACCGAGAAAGGAAGATCAGAATGATAGCCATCTACTATCTCACCTGCTTTGGCTTTCCAGCAAAAGACAATTGAGAAACATGAATGCTGGTCATTTTGCATCTCCTTCATTAGATCTCAAATGTGCTCTTTTATGTGGACTTGTAAATAAATCTGTGTTATATCAACCTCTCTCACTTTTGTGAGACTTGGGGGTCCTCAATCAATAATGGTATCTATGTTAGCTACCAAGAGGCAAAGCTTATTAAACAAAACTGGATACTAAATAACCGATTAATATTAATAGCTACATCCCACCAAGTCAGTTCTGGGTTATTCTATGAAAGCAGCAAAGTAGGCCTGTATGAGTAGGCAGCTATTCGATCCGGCTTCAGATCCAGCCGCTTCAGATGTCATGGATCCGATCTGGAGCTCCGGACCGGGTTCCTGCTTCGATCTAGCCGAAGCAGCTCTGAGGCTTCGGCGCCGCCTCCGAGATCCGGCCATAGGTTATAATGGGGAATCAGTGAAATATCTATAACTTTGTTGTTTTTTGTCTCATTTGGATGAAACTTGTAGGGATGGTAGCCTCTGCTGAGAGCATGAAGCCTGCCAAGTTTCAAGAAGATTGGTGGAGGGGTTTGTGGGGAACTGCACCATAAATTCTTGAAAGCAAAACTCAGGTCACATCTATGTGTTATGCCACAGGGGGTTGAAAACTGCAAGGGTGGTGGCCCCTGCTGAGGCCACAAAGCCTGCCTAGTTTCAAGGTGATAGGTACAGGGGTTTGGGGAGAACTGCACCTCAGGCTGCTGACAGGCAAAACTCGTGACATAGATGACACTGTGTGTTAAGGCGCAGCAGGGTGAAAGCTGCAGGGATGGTAGCCCCTGCTGCAGCCATGAAGCCTGCCAGCTGTCAAGGAGATAGGTGCAGGGCTTCTGGGTTCTGGGGCCCTGCACCTCTAGCTGCTGACAGGCAAAACTCGTTATAGATATTTCATTGATTCCCCATTATACCCTATGGCCAGATCTCTGAAGCAGCTCCAAAGCAGTTTGGAAGCTCCAAACCGCTTCAGAAAGCCTACCAAAGCTAGCGCTTCAATCCGGACATGCTGCTTCCGATGCCGAAGTATCCAAAGCTTGTCTGGATCTGAAGCATGGTCCAAAGCATCGCACAGCCCTACTGCAAAGCAAGGCCAAGGGGTTAGAGCAGGGAGCTGGTGTCAGGAGATGGGATCCAATCCCAGCTATGGCTCAAGTTCATAGATTTGTACTGTGGCCTGGCCTAAGTAACTAGGACTGGTTAAAAATTAAAATATAAATGTTTTGCTAGGTTGAAATATATAATTGTCTCTTTCATAAAATACATTTGTGTGTGTGAAAACAAATAATTTAATGAGAAAACTTGCCTTTCTGAATCAACTGATGAATTTTGGTACAATACTTTTCATCAGCATTACTGCAACTTTTATAAAAATAGTTGTTGAACATTTCTGTTTATATTCTAATAAAAATGCTGACAAAAATATGAAATGGAAATAAAACTGACATCCAATGTATAAACGTTATGCATACACACAAAATATTGAAACAAATCAAATTGAACAATGCCGATGAAAAGTATTGTCCCGAAATTCACCAACTGACTTTAAAAGGCAATAGTTTTCTAATACAACATTATTTGGGGGGTTGATGTTTGTGGTGGGGGGAGGGGATGGTGGGGAGGATTTTTTTGGAGAGCAAGGTTTTAAATGAAAAGAGTTTTTCATTCAAAACATCTCAACCAGTTTTACAAGTTACCCCTTTATGGATCCCACGTATTACTTATTCCCATGTATAAAATAGCAATAATAATACTTCCTTTTCTTATACATGAGCTATAAGCCTTCATTCATTCGGCCGATAACATAAATGGCTTTATGCTCTTCAGACTGAACAGCTCTTGTTATGGTTATTCCTTTAAATCCCACCCTAAGGACTGCATAATTCAGATAGGGTTTCAAAAGTTTGTGAGCATCTATGGCCTTCAGAGCTCTGTGAGGCAGGTCAAAGAATGGGGGAGCAGATTAAGGACATGGACACATTATAGAGAAATAAAGGAGGGGAGGGCTATAAAATACATCAACTGCTCTACAATAGCTCCTTATGTGGATACTGTATGCTGTGGTATGTGAAAGCTAGCCCATGATAGTTACTTCTCTCTCACTAAAAGATGAGCTAGATGCCTTAGGTTCCATTAAATATGGGGTAAGAGCATGCACACACAAACAGTGACCATGGAGCTGCTGTATAGCTCCCCCCCTAATATTCTGGGGTAATAACTCATTTGTGTGCCAGTGCTCCTAGAGTAATCCATTGGTGTTCTAGGAATAAGACTATACCCTAACTGTGCATTAAATCCCGGGCAACGTACTAAGTTCATTGTTGGGCATGAGAAGCACAGAAATGTAGAAAGGAAATCTCTAAATCTGCTAGTTTTAGAGGGCTTCAAAGCAGGGACAGAGTGACAGGATGTTACCCATCGTGCTCATACAATCTGCCTAGGCCTACCATGGAACAAGCCTGCATTACCAAAGGTGTAGCTAGTCATTTGAAATACCCCTACATACTGGCTGAGCCATCTTGTCCATCTGTGCCCCCTTAATCTGCCCGGTGAGAATTGCCACCCTACAAAATCACCACTTACAAAATGGGTAAATTTAGGTAAAGATTTAGCAGTGAGAGAGTAAAAACTCTTGCCAGGGAAAAGAGAACTGTAATCATCATAAGAAATGCCACTCCCAAGAAATTAAAAGCAGCATATGGTGTTTGCCAGGTCTGCAGCCCCCTGGTGCTAGTAACTCCCAGGACCAGGACACCTTGACTCCTGACCGTCTTGAAATTAAAAGGGCTGCAGCTGAATGGGAAAGATGCATGCATGCTTTCAAACATCTAAAAGAAATACCCCAAGCACAGCCCTCATTGTTGCTTGTATTTGTCTTGCAAACTGAATAGGCTGCTGTTTAGGATGACCTTGGCCCTTGGGCATTCATTCCTAACTCTAAAGCATCTCCAATGCAAAAAGCTGTTCCATCCAACCTAAATATTCCTGCTTCTCCTTGGCCAGCTGCAGCCCCTGAGCTTCCAGGCTCTCAATCATGGCTTCTCCCAGCTGGGCATTCTTCCAGGTCCTAAAGACAGAATGAAGACAAATAAGAGAATGGGAAAGAAAACAAGTCAGAGTTATTGGAAGAGTTGAGAGACTCCATCTTATATTCCACCAAGCAATGCAAACACAAAGTCCCTTGTGCTCTAAGAATTGCTTTGTTTTCTTATTTATGAGTAATAATATTTTATAAATTGGAAACTTCCCTTTTCCAGGGACTGTGTATAAACATAATGCTTTCTCTCTTCTTCTGGGAGTCCTACACTGGGATCCACCTTAGCAGTCCTCCAAGCCTGTGCAAGATATGGGGAACCTCTGACTGAGAGCCTGCTTCACAGTAGGGATTGGCACTTGGATTGGAAATTGACCCTGGTGGCTTGGTACAATTTTGATAGATGAAGATGAGGACTTATCTTCTATTACATTTCGCTCCTCTTTAAGTTCCACATCTTGTAGCCAGTGGCATTTCACCCTCTCACTCTTGTCCAGTGCTCTACCCCTGCACCACTACCTTCCTTCCAGCTTTAAAACCTCCTCAGTTTTACATGTGTTGGTCTTTATTCTCAACCCTGCAGGCTTCCGGTCTTGTATCTGCTTAAACATCCCTGCCTGCCTTAGCAGTTAGCACTTGGATTTAAGCTATATCCTAGCCCCCTAGTCTGACAAGTAGCACTACTTCTAAAAATAATAAAGAGCCCCCGCTAAAAACTTAAGAAAAAATAAAACCTAAAGTAAGAGAAGCGGGGTTATGGTAGTAATTTGTATGACTAGTACTACACACCAAGAGATTTCAATGCTTTTTGCAAACATTATTGAACAAAGGCCCCCCTCCACCTCATCCCGTATAACAGATGTGTTACTGGCTGCACCTGAAAAGCAAGGGCGTGCATCAGTATAGAGGTGAAGTAACAAGCCCAAGGACACACAAGTCAAAGGCACAGTCAGGAATAGGACCCAGTCTTCTCAGACCTGGGCTTCAGACCTTACAGAAAACATTTTTTATGCTGAAAATGCAGGCTGATTTGTTTATATTCACATTTGATAGTGAGAACAGTAATTTCTTTAGCATTCCCATTAAAACATATACATGATAAGGTAGGGCTTTGAGGGTTTGTTTATTTATTTATGTATTTATTTCCTGGAAAAATACTAAATCTGTAAAGAGATGTTTCATTTGATTTGGGACTGATTGTCTCTGTTTGACCTGAATCAGAACAGGAGGGGCACAGTCATTTACACACATTGCCCTTCCAAGAGAACACAGCCTGACAGGCATGTGCCAGGACTGAACCACAGTAACTGTACAAGATGTACACAAGGTTATTCCAGGAAAAAAAATGTTAGTACACCCTACCCAGCAGATTTCATAGAGACTTGAAGCGTGATGGTGGACATGTATGTCCGTATGACCCCAGGACGAAAGGTTTTTTGTTAAAACAAATGCGATGAATACTTATAGCCCAAGATTCATAAATATGAGAAGCAAATTGGACTTTCAAAGCTGGGACAGGGTTGTGGTTTCTCCCCCCTCCCTACTAGCTGTTTGGCATTTACAGGTTTTTGAAATAACTGTAATCAACAACCTCTTGTTGAATACTTTTAAGAAAGCCTTTATTTTTGCCTCTGGCAAACCTTATTTGCTGTACTAATACCTTTCATGCCCACAAGCAGACCTTTCAAAAGCAAATTAGAAGAGAATTAGTGAACAGGCACAGCTTTGTGTGTGTTGCATACAGCTGGATTCCTTTTAAACTAATGGACTTTTGTAATATTTTCCAAAATGCAGAGAACTTAGAACACAGAATCATAGAAAATTTAGGTTGGAAGGGACCTCAGGAGGTCATCTAGTTCAACCCCCTGCCCGAAGCAGGACCATCCCCAACTAAATCATCCCAGCCAAGGCTTTGTCTACCTGGGTCTTAAAAACCTCCAAGGATAAAGACTCCACAACCTCTCTGGGTAATCTGTTCTAGTGTTTTACTACCCTCCTAGTGAAAAAATGTTTCCTAATATCTTACCTAAACTTCCCTTGCTGCAACTTGAGACTGTTGCTCCTTGTTCTGTCATCTGCCACCACTGAGACCAGTCTAGCTCCATCCTCTTTGCAACCATCCTTCGGGTAGTTAAAGGCTGCTATCAAATCCACCCTCAGTCTTCTCTTCTCCAGACTAAATAAACCCAGTTCCCTCAGCCTCTCCTCATCAGTCATGTGCCTCAGTCCCCTAACCATTTCCATTGTCCTCCACTGGAGTCTCTCCAATTTGTCCACAGATTGTCTAACATTAATAGAAATGTATAGTTTTGCAGATGTCTTGAATGTGTGTGTGTGTGTGTGTGTGTGTGTGTGTGTGTGGTCATGTGCGCACGCACATGGCAAACACAAGGCAGTCATGATGTAATATTTTAAAATATTGAGACACTGAATTAAATCCTGTTCTCAGGCTTAAGGGATTCAAAACAGGTGAAGCATTTAAGATGTCTGCCTCTTTCATAAATACCGATCTGAGATTTTCCTCATATGCAAGGGACAGCCTTCTTAAGCCTACTTAACCCCAGCTTATGAAAACGGTGTAGTCTGCCTCACATTTGAAAAGTAATTGACACCTAACTGCTGAAAACGAGTACCTGTATTACAACGGAAAGCAGCAGTCTTGTGACTAGAGCTGGTAGAGAATTGTTCCACAAAATGGATTTTCATCAGAAAATACTAATTCACTGAAGTAGAAAAACAGTTGCAGCAAGGGGTTGGCTGAAAGCTGTTTATGAATTATTAGAAATAAATATCATAATTCAGAATTTCCATTGGCTTTCAAATGATTATTATGAATACTACTCCTAGTAGCAGTACTCCTATAACAGCACCAGAAGTCATAACAGAGAACATGGCTCCATTGTGCCAGGCTCTATACTTCTACACATCACAATTATATAACATAACTTCTTATTTAAAAAAAAATCCCCTCTCTCTTATGGCAGTCTGGGTTGGCATTTCACCTTTGGGTGGGTCCTGTGAACACCTGAACCAGAAGATCCCTGGCCTCTCCGCTCCACTTTAAAACCAAACATTTCCATGGTCTGACAAGCACTGTAGCTGCCATCCCACTGACTACAGCAGACTTGAGGGAATTCCTTTACAGAAACTGTCAGTTCCACACTATAATTAGTCAGAGAGGTCTTTGGGTACATCCACATTGCTGTCAGCCCTATAACTGCAGTTCATGCAGACAAACCTGAGCTCAGGCTCCAGTAGCAGTGTATCTGCAGCAACCTGGAGCCTAATCTGGGCTGTTAAACCCACCAGAGAAGCTGCACAAACACTCACCCAGGCTGAACTCTGCTGCTGCAACTCGACTGCTAGCAGTACCCAAGTCTGGGAATGAGCAGTCAGCTTGGTAGGTAGTTTAGACTCCCTTGCAACAATACAGTGCATTCCCACCAGGCCACCTGACAGTCACTAGCACAGGTCTTCCATACTTTAAATAATACCTACCACTGCAGTGTTCTTGCACACTCTTCCTGTTCCAGATTTAAAGTAAAAGTACACATATGGGCAACGAAAATGGTGAGGGAGCCGGGGGACATGACTTATGCGGAAAGACAGAGGGAACTGGACTTATTTAGTCTAGAAACGAGGACACAGAGTGGATTTAATAGCAGCCTTCAACTACCTGAAGGGAGATTCAAAAGAGGATGGAGCTAGACTGGTCTCAGTGGTGGCAGATGACACAACAAGGAACAACGGCCTCAAGCTGAAGAAAGGGAAATTTAGGTTAGATATTAGGAAACATTTTCTCACTAGGAGGGTAGTAAAGCACTGGAACAGGTTACCCGGAGAAGTAGTGGAAGCTCCATCCTTGGAGGTTTTCAAGGCCTGGCTAGACAAAGCTTTGGCTGGGATGATCTAGTTGGGGGTGGTCCTGCTTTGAGGACCCTTCCAACCCTAACTTTCTATAACTCTATATCTTCAGCCCTTTGCAACGCAAAGAATGAAATGAAGGGAATTGGATGCTACCCACTCCAGTCTCATTTGTCCTGTTTTCTCTGCATACTTATGCACTCTTTTCTTATTTTTCTTCTTCTTTATGATGAAGATGAAGAAGAGAGAAGTGGAATGATCACAACAAGCTGCAAGCACTCTGGTAGACTCAGCAGCATGTTTTCCCTGTAGCAAAAGGGCACTAAAATGCAGTGCCTAAATGATGCACACAGCATCCTTTTAACTTTCCCTTTCAATGCTGCTCAATTTACTGGACCACGCTGTGTCTTTTTTGGCTACTGCTCAGCTCCTGACCTAACTTTGCTAACACATATCACATTATCCCTGCTCTTCTTCACACACAGCCAGTCATCACAACTCATTAGGTAGATACTGGAGCTGCAGCATTCTAGCAGCTTCTAGCAGTGATGACATACAGGGAGGAAAGTAGGAGAGGAGGATACTACAAGCCTATTTTTCTCCTGCAGGGCGGGTTATCCTACTGCACCAAAAAAACCATACGACAATGGCTTCATCAGTTTCTACATCAAACACTTTGGGCTGAAGAGCCAGAATCAGGGTCTAGGAACAGGGTGGGCTCTGGGCATGGGGTGCAGCCACACACGACCTCATGCTTTTGGAAACCCTTTGCTAGTACCTGTTCCCCACATGCATTTTTAAAGAGGAATCTACCTGACTCACAGCAACAAGGGTCCCAAGGCCAAAATCAGCACTGGTATAAGCGAATGCAGCTCTATGGACTTCAGTGGAAGTTCTTCTACTTATAAGACACTAACTGTGGGGGTTTTATATTCCTTTGTAGTGGGGGGCATGGCCCTCTTCCTTTGATCTCTCAAACATATTTTAACAATCCTCAAGAAGTAAGACATTGGTCACTGTTGTCCCTCTGCCTTCCCTATGGCAGGTTAATGTGTTACATCTTGTGTTGTGTCAAGACTGACTGTAATTTTACTAACAAGTTAGACAATGGGTTTGTATAGGATGGTTTGCATAGAGGTGATCCAGGCATAGGGTTGGACTAGATCTCTGAAGGTTCCTTCTACCTTTATTTCCCAATGTTTCGATGATTTTACACATCCCTGCCCATCTTCTTCAAGAGTTGTGCCCTTCCCCGCTACAGCACAGATCACAGGGGCCTACCTGGGGCTCAGCATCTCTCACACCTGGTCCTCCCAAATCTTAGCCGTTTATGGTCAGAGCATAGGGGGATCAAACACCCTGGGTATCCTAGCACTTGGTGGTAACTCTCCCTCCATTTCCCAGTCTCTGGAGTGGTCCTGCCAGCATTTTAATTCCTATATGGCCTAGGCCTCAGTCAAACAGAGTTATAAGGCAAGACAGTAAAGTCCCCACTGCCTACTCAACACAAGTATTGTCATGGTGGCTAACATCAGTGGAGCTCCAGTGAGGAAAGGGTAGGGTAGGGACAGCATAACAAGCATGCTGGTGCTTACAATGCCAAAGAGAAACAGTGAGCTGGGGGATTTGCTTTTCCTCTCAAGTTTGAGCACACAGTGGGCACGACTGGCCTCTGGGTGGCATGGTGAGTGGAGACTGAGCTGTGCATCTATACAGCCCAGAGCCAGGAGCGAGCAGAATGGGGGGAGGGCAAAGAGTACTGCATATTTAGTCACCATTAATAAAAAATGACCCTGTACCACATCCTGATGCAATGATATTTCCTTCCTTCCAACACACAGAAGCTTCTGAGAAGTGAGCTGTCCTGATCTGCCCATGCCAACATGCTAGGATAAACTCATCTGAATGAGATGCCCTTTTTTCTAGCCATTTTTTATGGGGGCTCAAGGGTACAAATCCAGCGTAATACCTCGCTGGGCAAAAGCTACTGCTGCAGGGCATATGGCAAAGCGCTCTTTCCTTTAAGCAGCTTAGCTGATTACCGGGCTTCAGAGATTCTGAAAGTCCCCATGTGGTTTGGGAGAACTCCCGTCCCTCAGCCCCACACCCCCCTCCCTGCCACTGCCTTTCCACACTTCTGCTAAAACTTGAACAGTGCTTGTTCTGGTTTCATACCAGCCTGCCCATTTCACTGGGAGGCACTTGAGCAATGACATTCCAGGGCTAGCAACAGTCAAACCTCAAAACGTGCAAAGGTGCCAGTCAGATAAGCTGCCAAAGCATCCTGGTGCTTACAGCCTTTACATCACCTAGGTGTGCAGAAGTGGTCTGGAAATGTGATAAATCAACCCTCTCAGGGGATCTGCTGTACTCCCTGAGGTAGCTCATAGAAAGCCTCTCTCATAGGGCTAAATTCTCCTCTCCCCACGTACCAGCTGAGTGTGCTGAAATATGGGACCTATGCCTCAAAGATCACAGAACCATGTCAGAACTGCTGTTGAAATCTTGGGGCCACTGTTATTGTCATAGCCTTTGTGGCTGCCATGCTCCCTTCACATGGGGGCCTAGACCTCCCTCATCCTGACCCCATGTCACCCCAGATACCTATGCTAGTGGTGCAGGGAGCCTCAGAGTCATAAGCTCCCAGGTCTTGCTCCTCATCCAACAGAACTTCATTGCTTTCACTAAGTCCAAGAAGTGAGAAGAAATAGCAGGACAGAAGTTGCCACATGTCATTTCATTACTTCCCAGTCCTGTCCAGAGCCAGGTGGTGACGTAGCAGAATAATGAAACTTTAGCATAATGGAGGAAGATTTATATCAAGTCTTAAACTGTTTGGTTTATGTGGTAGAGTGGTCAAAATCTGAGGTTAACCAGGACTTACAGCCATGGAGCAGTATTTCAACTTTTCTACCCTGTAACACTAGTCACACTTTGCTCTTCTCACAAGACACACCCTCTGGTCCCCATCACCTTACCAAAATACTTCAGAAAAGAGAAAAGAATAGAATTAAGCCCCTCGTACTTACACTTTCCCAGACTCCTGCAGCAGTTCCAGCCACTGGGCCTGTTCAAACTCTGACTCAGCTGCAAGGACAATGTTACCCTGGGAAAGAAAAACAAAGCCTGCAATGAGAGCTGCTGGTGTAGCACATGCACATGCATATATAACATCATGCACATGGTCCTATCCAGGCCACCAGTGGACACAGGTATTGTAAGCACTGCCACCTTCCCACCATTGATACTACTCCAAATGGCAGAAAAAAATGGATGGGCTCTGGAGCCAGCCCTATCCTTTGACTCTCATTGAGGTGGCAAGACACATAAGCAAAGTGATGGAGGGGAACGGGCAGCAATGCTGCTGTCTAAGTGGTTCCATTTGCTGTGAATAAACAGAGCACATCAATGTCCAGGGCTGTTGCTTCAGCCCTCTCATCAGTGTTAAGCTCACCTACTTGAAAAGAAAAGAGTTCACTCACATGGAAGTCCTCATGGGAGATCTTTATGGCATAAGGCATGTTGGGCTCTTCTTTGGCCTCCACGATGCAGCCCCCCAGAGGAATGACACCCTAGTGTGGAACCAGTGTTGAAATCAGTCAGTATACCTTCAGTGAGCAGATACAAGGCACAGCCAAAAGCAAGGCATATCAGGGACTCCCGTTCTCAGCTTTCCCCATGCCCCTCTTCAGATGCTGGAAGTGTCACAACAATCAGCATGTATAGTTCTGAGAAGCAGGACTGACACCTCACAGCACCCAGGGGAACCTGCTGCAACTGATTAAAGGGAAGTGCTAATCAAGGGAAGATCTGGGGGTGAGGAGGGAGTGTTTGAATCCTGCTTTGACTCCTGCTCCACCCAAAGTTTAAAACCAACTGCCTGGCAATAGCAGCAGCATTTCTAGTCAGGCAGTGCTGAGGAAGTCCCTTGACTTCATGGATCCTTATAATCTACCTGATCCCTTTGAAACTCTTCATTCCACAAGTGTTAATGACTTTCTCCCTTTTAATTGGTGGTCTTGATGTTCCACCAATCAAGCTATCCTTTGTTCTACAATGCTGCTGTCTTAGCTGCTCCCGAAACTCCTGTCACAGCCCGTCCCAGCCCTGAAGATTGTTTTTAACTCATTCCAATTAAGTTATATTTGTTTTTGCTTCAATCAAACTGAATAATACATCCTTAGATCTCTAGAGTATTAATAAAACTTCTAGTTTAACTGGAGAAAAAGATGTTGTTTTATAGGTGATGATGCACCTCACCACCTGCACCCTCCTTTGCAAAATTCTAGATCCACACATGGTGCTAACGGGCTGCACAGGGAGCCTAATCTTGCCCACCTCCAGTGGGTGCTGGGATATGAAAACTGGAAGGAAATGGGAGGTTCTTTTTTAAAGACCAGGGGATCATCCAGCAGGTTTAAGACGTTATGCTTCAATGAGTAACTACAAATGCAACCGTGAGGGAGTTGGTGCCCCCATTTATGGCTCCTGGACTTCATTTCTCTAAGTGGTAGTTTCCTATGCATATTGGTGCACATTGGTGACATCTAGCATATCACCAATACCTGCTGCGGGTGAAATCGGACCCCCTAAAGTGCATGTCCTCTGTGGCTGGAGGTCCATGGAGAACAAAAAGGGCTACTCCCACTAAAAGCACAGGTGGCAAAGGCCTGAGAGATGAACCCTCCCCTTCCTTATCCTGCATGTGTGTGAGGTATACTGGGTCACTGTTGTGTCTGACTAGATTTGCAGGTACAGATTAATGGCAAGTCATGATGAGTCAAGTAATAAACCAGGTGATGATCAGAGTAGCCTCACAGCAGACTATTCTGATGGCCACCAGATGAACTGGGTAATCATGAGATCAGAGTATGTACCATGGCTGAGCAACAGCACTAGCAAGACATGGGCAGGCAGTGGCAGCAGCTGCCCTTCCTCCACTCCAAGTTGGCAGTTGCGGCTGGTGACCCAGCCACCTGCTCGTTACACCAGTGCATGAGATGACTAAAGAAGTTGGGCTGTGAACCTAATATCAGGAAAAAGGATTAAAAAATAAAACCAAGTAGCTGGTGGGGCTGGGGGGAGCCCGAGTTAAGTTTGATTTTCATAAAAGGTTCATCAACATTCCTATATCGTTTGGAGGTGCCTCTGGGTCCAGCGACTCAGGGTTGGGGTTAGATAACCTGCTTCCTCTGCTCTCTGGCTGCTTGTAAGAAGCCAGCTGGAGTCCTAATGGAACCCACAGAAGAGTGCTGACCTTCGGGTGAATATTGAAGTATTTATTGCTTTCAAAATTCTTCTTTTCACTCTCAGCATAGTAAAGCAGAAAGCTCTCCTTGATGATGAAGAACCTGAGGAGAAAAGGAACAAAAAAATAAATAAATCCTAGTAATGCCCTCCTGTCTCAGAACATCCGATTCATCACAACTTCAGACAACCTTTACCTAATGAAAATCTCCCCTTGAGCCAAGAGATTTTATTATTGCCACTCTGCAAATGGAAGAACACAGGTAGAGAGAAGCAAAGTGCTTAGTCAAGGTCATTCAAAGATTCAAATTAATCCCTGGAACCAGTGAAGGTTAATTTGAAGGCAACAGAGATTTCTTATAATATGTGCCAGAGGGGTGAAGTAGGCTGAGAGAATAAGTAACAGTTCTGATCCTGCTGCTGACAAATGCCTGGCAGCCTGTTCTGTGTTCTTGCCATAAAGGGCATTAAAGGATGGAAGCAATTTCCCCAAAATCCTGAGAGCAGAGATCCTATCCAAGCCTTTGGTGTTCATCCTCTGGAAATGGAAAAGAAACAACTTCTTCAGACATGCATTGCATTAACAATGTATTGTGTTCTGCTCAGTCAGCATCCCAATGACTGCCATTGAATAGAAATACAAGATCAGAGCTCCTGTAAATTAAGCTTTGAAACTATAAGAATTCTTTGAGTGTTCCTCAAAATTATGAATAAAAAAGAGGGTTGTTTTTTGTTTTGTTTTTTTACTTATTTAGACTTTCAAAATGCTGTTGAAAAATCTCACTTCTATTAAGAAAAGTAAACAGTTGTAGACTGAAAAGTAAAGTAGTGCATTGTGCAGACTGTAACCAAGGCACTGGGAAAATAAAAAGCAAAATTAAAAGGACGGTTTTCAACATGGCAAGAGGTTAACAGTAGGGGAACCCAAAATTTCATATGGGGGTGGGTGGGAAGATCAATGGAGTTACGGAAATTTATAAGTCAAGGATATATGGACCAGCGTTCTTTATGATATTTATTAATAACCTGCTGAAGTGGTGAAGTGACATGATTTATAAATGACACAAAATTATATAAATCAGTGAAGTGTAGAAAAGAGTATGCAGAATTTCCAAAGGGGCCTGCCAAAGCTAAAAGAGAAGACAATATGTTGGCAAATGAAATACACTGTGCAAAAACTGGAATTCACACCATTATGGAATCATTTAAATTACCCATATGGAAATTAACCTGAGTGAAGGAAAAAAAAGGCGTGGATATCACTGTGGACAGCGCAACAAAACCTTCTGCTCAATTCACAGCAATAGCAGAATGCACCGTGTATTTCATGGAGTCTCTGAATCTTTGTTTTTTTTTAAAGATACTGAATGGTAGAAAAATTAAATTGTCTGTTCTTATTTACTAAGCCAAAGAAAAGTGCCCTTACTTACCCAAATCCTAGATGACTTTGAATTTAAGACTACCCCCAATAATTAGATGCTATGCATGGAAATTTTTTACATTATCTATACATTTTCCATGTATAGGCTCTAATTATCAGAAGGTGCCTTAAATTCATCAACCCACTGCTGCAGCATGGAAAGCAGCAACAGCAGCAGCAAGGGAGAGAGCAGGCAGTTTGGGGGGCAGGTAGCCCCCTTGTCTCATGGCCCCCCAACCAATTGTCCCCTTGCAGTCAGTCCCCCTGTTGCCTCTGCCTCCCCTACAGCCCCTGACCCAACCTTCAGCCCCCGCAGGCTCTGCTCCCCACTCCTGCTCCCCACAGTCTTTCTTGCTTGCCCCACCACAGCTTGCTGTCAGGCATGCCTCTGCCTCTCTTCCCTCCCCGGCATGGAACACACTGACGCTCTAGCTCGTGCCCAGCCATGCCACAGTGTCCCAGGCCAGAGCTGCCACGGCTAGGCCAGGCAGGGGCCAGAGTTTCCATATGCTCTGTGCCCAGGAGAGAACGGAGCCACAGCCAGATCCACA